TGACACACTGGATAAACCATACGAACAGTTTGTGTTAATTCGTCGCTATTGTGAATTTAGGGTGGCGACCCCTGTTTTTGTTGTTGTTGTGTTGTTTTTGGGTGTTGTGATGTAGTGAGGCTGTTCATACATAGCTTTGTTAAGTCGAGGTTGATAATTTTGTTGGTTTGTGTTGAGTTTTGCTCGTAGGGGCTGTGATGCTGGCCAGAGCTTGACTCGCCTGCTGACACAACTGCTGATACAACTGCTGGTATGCTCTGCTCTGCCTCTGCGCTAGTACTACTTGCCTGCTGGTGCCTACGCCAGTTTGCTGTGTACTTCTGTCGGGCTATTGTGTATCTGGTGGCGCGCTGCTGTTGTTGCTGCTTGTTGCTGCTGTTGTTGTGTTGCTTGTTGCTCTGTTGCTGTGTGCTGTGTTGCTGTTGTATGCTGCTTGTTGCTGTTGCTGTTTGTTTGCTGTGTGTGCTGCGCTGCTGCTGCTGCTGCTGCTGCTGCTACTGCTGCTACTGCTGCTGCCTGCTGGCTGCTGCTGCTGCTGCTGCTGCTGCTGCTGCTGCTGCTGCTGCTGCTACCTTGCTATCCCTGCTACGGGCTGCTGCTGCTGCTGCTGCTGCTGCTGCTGCTGCTACTGCTGCTGCTGCTTGCTGCTGCTGCTGCTGCTACTGCTGCTGCTAATGTGACTCAAGACTTGTATCTAAAGAGGTTGTATTTTGACTACCGTCCTCAGACATAGTCACTGTCTTCAGGGTGATAGCAACGAGCAGTCATACATCATGAGTGTCATTACTATCTCATTCATACATAAGACAGTGCGGGGGGGGGGAGAGTGATGTCAGCTCTGTTTATATGGGACAAGGATGGTCTGTGAGGCTTGCGTAAGACAGGCAACCTCGCCTCTGAGCCCTCCGTTAAGGAGGGGGAAGGGGTATTGATGCCCATGAAGGGCTCTTGATTCAAGGAATTGGAGCTATCCTTTCATTCCCCAGAAATTGTATGACGACCCTACAGATTTAACGCTTCTCCATGGTTATTATAATTTTCTAAGCCTCTCATTGTATTTTTTCCTCCTAAAGTGTGAGATGAATATTAACAATTGTTATGGGTGAGTGACCTTACACCTACTGCCTCTCTTCACCTATCACACTGCGTGGCTTTTCTTGGATTATCCTGGCTTGTTAACCCTTCCGGATTGCTAATCTTCCTGGGCTGTTAACATTCTTGGGTTGATAACCCTCTTGGGTTATCCCTTTGGGAGTTAATAACCCGAGTAACGTCTCCGTCAACAGAGCGTCAACAGTTGTAACTTACAGCTGGCGGGTAAACAGCTGGAGTTATCTCAATGTCACGAGCCCAGCTGGTGACAGATCAGCTTCGTCAGACACAGCTGCTCTAGACACAACTGGAGAGTGAACAGTGTTCTTGTTCACTGTATGTTTTTAGCAATTTAAATCTCCATACATTCACGACCCGAGAAGAGAGCGGATATTATTCCTGACACTACGATACAGCATTTAATGAAGCGAGGTAATGATGCCTAGTGAAGCATTTCCTACAATTAAGTTACATTTACCACACTAATCTACAACTACAAAGTTAGTATGGGGCCCCACTGTGACCACAAATGTAAGTTTTAACAGATGAATCTCCCACCAGCGTGGCTGTGATGAATTCTAGCTCAAGTCCCCTCAAAGCAACCATCATGACTCATGAAATCGTAATAACACAATTGTAAACAAGCCAAGAAACTTGTGGGGCTAGAACCGCACCAGTTCCGTAGTTCGTTTGCCATCGTTTTATTACGATTTCGTGAGTCATGATGGCGGCTTTGAGGAGACTTGAGCTAGAACTCATCACAGCCACGCTGGTGGGAGATTCATATGTAAAAAATTACAAGGTATTGTCAAAGAAAAAAATTGTAGGATAGAGCCTTACCTTGAGTTTGTCGATTTCATCCTCGAGTTGGGAGTCAACAGAGATCATCTTCTTGAGCGCCTCCTCTACAAAACCCATCCTGCCGTACAACTGTGAGTGGTCTTTCTTCTGCATGAGGGCGTCAAAGATTCTCCACAGAGCTCGGGTGATCATGCGATGACCGTCGTGAACCTGGAGTTCAGAAGGTGCCACACCGTACCTTCTGACGTCGTTCCTGGGCGAACTGCCGTACCTCTTCCCCCCACCGTTAGGGACCCTCTCCCTCTCCAACACATCGTTATCGTCCACAGGTCTCGCCGGGTTCTTCTGCGCGAGTGCCACGCCTGCTACTAGGACAAGCGTCACTGCGCATGTATACATACCGCTACAGCTTAGACGCATTGTCTTGAGCTACTCTTACTGCTGTTAGTGAGCTACTGTCTAATTATTGGTGTCTTGGCACGTTCTAATTACTGGTGGCTTAGGCTCCTAATTACTATCGTCTTGGGGGGAGATGCGTTGCAGTATACTAGTCTCCTTCTGGCCTGAAGAGAAAAAAAATATTTATATAAACTATTATTCTAATGTCTGGGTGTTCAGACTTGTACTTTAATTTAATTCACATCTCATTTTATTTTTATTTTGAAACTTCATTTCCTTGTTAGCAACATAAACAAGAATGTTGAAATGTCACCAGCAGAAAAGTTAACAAAGTTCCACTAAAAGCATCATACCTTGAGACTACACCGGAACTTATGTCGTCCGTTTAACTGGTTGTTGCTTTTAGTATACAATTTATGACTATGGTATCATTCATTTTCCTCAGCGAGTGTGGGAATGATGGGTGAAATTCGTCATGAAACAGGAGAAGTGTTTCCTGACGAGGGTCTCAGTCATATTTTGCCCGAAATACATTATATTCTAGTGGCTTTCTTTTGTACCTAACAATGTTTAATTACATGTCAACTATATTATCTTTGCACAGCATAAATATAAATAAAAATTTATTTGAATTTGAGTGATGACCCGTCATTGGAGACTTTAATCATCTGACCGTGACTTTCCATTGGCTTACACGTCCACCTTTTTAAAAATTAAAACTGATGCGTATGGTATAGAGAAGAAAATGAGTCATTCTATAAATAACACCCTCGTCAGAAGAAAGTTTCCTACTTTTCATGGCAAATAAAATATGCGAGACGGAAAGAATTTTCATAACTAGGAAAGTCGGAAAATTATCTCCAGACTTGTCATAGGATGACCCACTCAGTGGAGTGTTTGTTTACCTGACACCAGAGGCTGTTCTCTGCTGTGCCGCTCTGTCCCGTGACAACAAAACATCAGAAGAGTATGGGAGATGTGAGTGTCTTGTGAAGTGTCTTCAGCTGCAAGAGCTACACCTGTGTGCACTCACCTAGTTGTGGTTTCAGAGTCGAGTCACAGCTCCTGGCCCCGCCTCTTCACTGGTCGTTGTTAGGTCCACTCTCTCCCTGCTCCATGAGTTTTATCATACCTCTTCTTAAACCTATGTATAGATCCTGCCTCCAGTATATCACTCTCAAGAATGTTCCACTTGATGACAACTTTATGGCAGAAGAAATGTGTGTGTGTGGTGTGTGTGATGTGTGTGATTTTGTGTGTGTGTGTGTGTGTGTGTGTGTGTGTGGTGTGTGATGTGGTGGGGTGTGTGGTTAGTGTGTGTGTGTGTGTGTGTGTGTTGTGTGAGTGGTGTGTGTGTGTGTGAGTGTGTGTGTGTGTGTGTGTGTGTGTGTGTGTGTGTGTGTGTGTGTGTGTGGTGTGTGTGTGTGTGTGTGTTATGTGTGTGTGTGTGTGTGTGTGTGTGTGTGTGATGTGTGTGTGTGTGTGTGTGTGTGTGTGTGTGTGTGTGTGTGTGAGTGTGTGTGTGTGTGTGTGTGTGTGGTGGTGAGTGTGTGTGTGTGTGTGTGGTGTGAGTGTGTGTGTGTGTGTGTGTGTGTGTGTGTGTGTGAGTGTGTTTTGTGTGTGTGTGTGTGTGCGTGCGTTGCGTGCGTGCGTGTGTGTGTGTGTGTGTGTGTGTGTGTGTGTGTTTTGTGTGTGTGTGTGTGTGTGTGTGTGTTTGTGTGTGGGGTGTGTGTACTTACCTAGTTGAGGTTACAGGGGTCGAGTCCAAGCTCCTGGCCCCATCTCTTCACTCGCCGCTACTGGGTCACTCTCCCTGAGCCGTGAGCTTTATCATACCTCTGCTTAAAGCTATGAATGGATCCAGCCTCCACTACATCGCTTCCCAAACTATTCCATTTCCTGACTAATATGTGACTGAAGAAATACTTCCTAACATCCCTGTGATTCATCTGAGTCTTCAACTTCCAACTGTGTCCCCTTGTTGCTGTGTCCCATCTCTGGAACATTCTGTCTCTGTCCACCTTGTCAATTCCTCTCAGTATTTTATAAGTCGTTATCATGTCCCCCATATCTCTCCTGTCCTCCAGTGTCGTCAGGTCGATTTCCCTTAACCTCTCCTCGTAGGACAGACCCTTTAGCTCTGGAACTAGTCTTGTTGCAAACCTTTGCACTTTCTCTAGTTTCTTTACGTGCTTGGGTAGATGTGAGTTCCAAACTGGTGCCGCATCCTCCAATATGGGCCTAACGTACACAGTGTACAGCGTCCTGAACGATTCCTTATTAAGATGGCGGAATGCTGTTCTTAGGTTTGCTAGGCGCCCATATGCTGCAGCAGTTATTTGGTTGATATGCGCCTCAGGAGATGTGCCTGGTGTTATACTCACCCCAAGATCTTTTTCCTTGAGTGAGGTTTGTAGTCTCTGGCCCCCCAGACTGTACTCCGTCTGTGGACTTCTTTGCCCTTCCCCAATCTTCATGACTTTGCACTTGGTGGGGTTGAACTCCAGGAGCCAATTGCTGGACCAGGCCTGCAGCCTGTCCAGATCCCTTTGTAGTTCTGCCTGGCCCTCGTCTGACTGAATTCTTCTCATCAACTTCATATCATCTGCAAAACAGGGACACTTCGGAGTCTGTTCCTTCCGTAATGTTCACAAAATCCAGAAACAGCACCGGTGCTGGGACTGACGCCTGTGGAAACCCCACTCGTCACAGGCGCAACACTCTGACACCTCGCCTCATACCGTGACTCGATGCTGTCTACCTGACAGGTATTTCCCTGATTCCACTGTAGTGCCTTCCCTGTTATCCCTTCCTGGTTCTCCAGCTTTTTT